GCCTCCCAAAGTGCTGGGATTACAGGCTTGAGCCACCGCGCCCGGCCAGCATAATATTTTCAAGTTCATTCATGTTGGAGTATGTATCAGTAATTCATTCCTTTTTTATTGCACAATAGTATTTCATTTTATGAATATACCACATTTTGTTTATCCATTCATTCGTTGATGGACATTTGTGTCATTTGCACATTTTGACTGTCACGAACAATGCTGCTATGAACATGTAAAGTTTTTGTATAGATGTTTTCATTTCTCTTGGGTCTGTCTATACGTAGGAGTGGAATTACTGGGTCATATGTTAACCCTATATTTAACTTTTTAAGAAACTGCCCAACTGCTTTCCATGATAACAGCACCATTTTTTCATTCTTACCAGCAGTATATGAGGGTTCTGATTTTTTCACATTTTTGCCAATACTTATCTGTCTTTTTAATAAAGCCATCCTAGTGGGTATGAATTGGTGTTTCTTGTGATTTTGAGTTAATTTCTCTGATGACTAATTATATTGAGCATCTTTTCATGTCATTACTAGGCAGTAGTATCCTTGGAGAAAGGCCTATTCAAGGCTTTTGTGAACTTTTTATGATTAAAAAAATCTTAAATGACAAATAGAAATTGTATGTTTATCATATACAATGTGTTGTTTTGAAATACGTATTCATTGGCCAATTTGAGCTAATTAACATATGCATTAACTTTTTTTGGTGAGAACACTTAAAATATATTTTCTTAGGGATTTTCAAGAATGTAATACATTGTTATTAATTTTTCTCACTTTAAAATTGGGTTATTAGGCTGGGTGCAGTGGCTCAGGCCTGTAATCCCAGTACTTTGGGAGGCCAAGGAGGGTGGATCCCTTGAGGTCAGGAGTTTGAGACCAGGCTGGCCAACATGGTGAAACCCTGTTTCTACTAAAAATGCAAAAATTAGCCAGATATGGTGGTACATGCCTGTAATCCCAGCTGCTCAGGAGGCTGAGGCAGGAGAATTGTTTGAACCCAGGAGGTGGAGGTTGCAGTGAGCCGAGATCGTGTACCTGCACTCCAGCCTGGGCTACAGAGTGAGACTCTGTCTCAAATTAATTAATCAGTTAGTTAATTTAATTAAATTGGGTTATTTGTCTTCTTATTCTTGAATTGTAAGAGTTTTTTTATATATCCTGGATTTAAGCCTCTTATAAGATATTTGATTTGCAAAAATTTTCTCCCATTCTGTGGGTTGGCTTCACATTCTTGGTAGTATTATTTTATGCACAAATATTTTAATTTTGATAAAAGCCAATTTATTTTTTCTTTTGTTGCTCATGCTTTGGTTTCATATTTTAAAAACTTTTGCCTAGCTCAGAGTCACAGAGGTATACCTTTGTTTTTTTCTAAGAACTTTATAATTTTATCTCTTACATTTAGGTCTTTGATCCATTTTGAGCTAATTTTGTATGTTGTGTGAGGTAAAAGTCCAACAGCTTCATTGTTTTTTTGTTGTTTTTTTTTCAACAGGTTCATTGTTCTGTATTTGCATATTTAGTTGCCCAAGCATTATTTGTTGACAAGACTTGTTTCCCCATTGAATGGTCTTGGCACTCTTGTCAGAAATTAATTGGGCATAGATGTATGGGTTATTTTTGTTTTTTTTTTTTCTGAACTCTCAGTTCTATTCCATTTGTATGTCTATTCTGTGTCAATGTCATATTGTCTTGATTACTGTAGCTTTGTAGAAGTTTTGAAATTAGGAATTGTGAGCCTTTCAACTTTTTTTCTTCTTTTATAGGATTGTTTCAGCTAATGTCCCTTGAATTTCTAAATAAATTTTAGGAATAGCTTCTCAATTTCTGCAAAGAAGTCAGCTGTGATTTTAATAAGAATGGTGTTGAATCTTTAGGCTAATCTGAGGAGCATTACCATCTTAATAGTATTAATTCCTTTTGTCCATGAACATGGGATGTCTTTTTATGTTTTTTGGATCTTTATTTCAACACTTCTTTAAAAAATTTATTTCTAAGTATTCCGTCTTTTTAAATGGAATTTTAAAAGTGTTTTGTAAGTGTTAATTATGGAAATAATTTGAAAAAAGGTTTGTCAAAATTTAAGAAACGTTTTGTATTTATTATCTTCTTTTTTTAACGGATGGGGTCTCATTCTGTCATCCTGGCTGCTGGAGTGTGGTGGGATGAGCATGAATCACTGTAGCCTTAAACTCCTGGGCTAAAACTCCTACCTCAGCCTCCTAAGTAGCTGG